ATTATGTATTTGTTTTGTAAATATTCACTGAAGTATGTGTAATTCATGAATGAATTTATGTATGTATTGATGTCGTGTTCATCGGACATCAACGTTCGTATCCTTTCTAAGAGGAAAATGTTGTTCGTTTTTTGGTTGAAGGGCCAACCCGTCCCAACCCGTGGCCCGCTTAGGGCTGGGTTGGGCTGCTATTTTATAGGCCCTTTAATTAAAAGGGCCAGCCTGTCCCAACTTATTTAACTCTCTAGCCCGTTAGGGTTGGGTTGGGCTGGACCAGTCCATTTTGACAGCTCTAACCGCAATATATTTTTATTACAAAAATACATTACTAGAAACAAATGTTCGTGAATTAAAAGAAAATTTATGTCATAAAACATGATTTTCTATTTATTTTTCACCGAATTAGCTCATTGAAAAATAAATTTTCACTAAATAACGGAAAACTTCCTACCTTTTTCATATGAAACATTAAAAACTATTTTTTTCTTTTCTCACCAATTAAATCAAAATATCAGTAGAAATAAAACATTTGGTTAAACTATATTACATCTCTGGAATGCCCTTGAACATTTATGTCTTCAGGTGTAAAGAAAAAGGACCTTAGCCTAAAAGATATTTCATGATATATATGTTATGGGGTACAAGCACTAGCTAGGAAGTGAAATTGGTCAATGTACGTACTGAAATACTATGCCATAGTACATACTATCTATAGCTAGGCAAGTTCATGGTATATATATATATACTAGATAAGTATGTCCCGTGCAACACGGGCCCAACATGTAGTTTTATGGAAAAAATTACTGAAATGCACATCTTATGTTTCTCTTATTTCCAATATCTCCTTCCATTTCTAAAAACCTCTAAAATCCCTTATTTCTTTAATGTATCTGAGCTACATATTAATGTATCCGAGCTATATATTATGTATCTGGTTTATTTTATAATGTATTTGAACTAGTTTTTAATGTATTCGAGCTACATATTATGTATCTGAGCTAGTTTTTAATGTATCTGAGCTACATATTATGTATCCGGTTTATGTTATAATGTATCCGAGATACTCTTTATTGTATCCAAACTACATATTATGTATCCAATTTATGTTATAATGTATCAGAGATACTCTTTAATATATCCGAGCTACATATTATGTAACCGATTTGTGTTACTTTTAAATGGATTACTGTAATTAAAAACTAAAGAGGGATATATTGTAATTTCATTTTAAAACTATGTGATTCCTAAAATTTATCCTAGTTTTATTCATGGTCTAAATTTGACTAATATAAATAAGAGAAAATTGTATATAATAGCAAACTATTAATTCAAATTAAATGCTATAAACATAGTTTGATTTAATTGTACCCCACAACAAACTGTTGCTATTTTCGCCTCTCTCCCTGGTGGAATTTCACTTGCCACTCTTGTTTTCACTGGCATTCTCGCTCGCCTCTCTTGCTTTTATACAAACACAAAAATATAAAATGTGTTTGTGTTTGTATAAAGCGAGAGAAAATTGTATATATACATATATTTTCGTTCCCCTCTCTACCCTCTCCTAGATCTCGCTCGCCACTCTCACTCGCCTCTCTCACTTTATACAAATACAAATGTATACATTGCGTTTGTGTTTGTATAAAGCGAGAGAAAATTGAATATACAAATACAAATGCATATATTTTCGTCCTATACACTTATGACTATACAAATACGATCTTACCCTACCCAGTTTTCTTTTGTCTTTCTCGCTTTATACAATCACAGATTATACAATTGATTCTTTTGTATATGTATACCGAAACAAATTATACAATTGTTTTTTTTTATATATGTATAGCGAAATAGCCAGCTTCTCTATAGCTATAACTTACAAATATGATTTTTGTGTTTGCTATATATGAAAATTGCTCTATAAATAATCAAATAACATTTAAACACCATTATATAAAGGAAATAAAAATATTGCTATTTTGAAAATAGTATAGTTGTCAAATATGTTCGGTATATATTTTGTGAATGACATACTATTGGTTCTCTATATAGATCGTTATGCATATATAATAGGATTCTTTTATCTACAATTTGTGCATAACGATAGAGTTCTGTATAGATATGCATATATAATAGGCACATTTGAATTCATCATTTTCTATGAGTACGTAAGTGATGTCATCAGCTTAGTAGACAACCTTTTTATTATACAAAAACCAACATATGGAGAAGTTAGACAACCTTTTTATTATACAAAAACCAGCATATGGAGAAGTTTAAGATGAAGACAAATATATCAATCAATTAAAATATTAGAATGGATGCCAAACTATTCTGAAAGTTTTGTAACTTATCCGAACAATATTCCTTATATTTACAACAATGGAGAAGAAAGAAAAAGTGTCTTACCAATCACAACACATATTGTTAAACAATGTAAACAAAAATCCACTAAGAATTCCAAATGTTTATTCAAATTACCAACCAAAAAAAGATGATTCAACTGTGGAAAGTGAGGTATATAAGCGTTACACCTGATAAAACACCGACCATTGAAAACTCAAAAAATGCTCAAAGCTTGCAGTATAAAGTTTTCAGTTCCTCTATAATCCAAGAATCAGAAAGAAAATGTAAGATTAAGCTTTATGCATGGTTAAGTTTGGTAGGTGAGTAGATTACCCACTAGGCCACTAAGAATTTAATTTTGGCCGCATTCATTTTGCCTCTATGAATGTGGCTCAACTTATCAAACTTACTGGAAGTACAAATGTATAGAGGAAATAGAGTCGTAAGAACTGTTGTTTCTTTTTTCCAAAAGGTGGATCGATTTTAGGCTATTGCATGAAATAACCTCATAGATATTGAAATTTCAATTTAGATATTTCAGAATGGATACAGTTTGATGGTGTATGAATAAGCAAGTCTCGCCTCTGACCTTGGTTATAGATCATCTAATTGGTAGAGAAGTAACAATTACAAGTCTCCGGACCTATAATCAACAAGCTAGTCATTAGTCATGTTCACTTTGTTAAAATAGAAATCTATATTAACATCATGTACTTCAATAAAAAGAAATGAACCTTGAAACAGAAAATTAACAAAAAAAAATATGAAAGCCGTTTACAATTGAAAGGTTAGTAAACTACAACAAAACCAAGAACACTCTTCTACAACATACAACATTTAGACAATGGTATGTCACCATTGACATATCGAGAAAAGAAAAAGGTTTAAATTAGGGAAAGGTTAACTGCATATAAAAAAATAAGTTTCTCGGACTCGGGTGCGGGTGTCTGATATAAGGGCGCGGATGGGATATGGATCCATGTATGGATACGGGTGTGGGGATTCGCCTAAAAATAATTCAATTGTAAAACCTAAATTATGATATATTATATGGAGAACTTAAGGACAATCTTGGAAGGAGATTGAAGGAAAAATGAGTGACATAGAAATTTATATATAAGGGGTATTTCATTTTCTTCAATTTCACTTAGCTTTTGTATTGATTATGGGAATCATTAAAATTGTCCAGACTTTCCCATCGATTTTAGTCAAAGTACCCAAAATCCGTTGACCAAATCGGACACGGATCCCACACTCACACCCATGTCGTGTCGACACTGGTGCGGCACCAAAAGTGAAGAGTCCAAGCATTTTAGGATAAAAATGCTGCCAAAGACATGCCAACAGAATTGTAAAATACCTTTTATTCATCCACTTCAAAGAAAAAAAGGATATTTCTATAAATAAATAAATATATATATATATATATATTTATTTATATATATTAGAAGAGAGAGTTTGAGGCAGTTTCATAATTTTACTTTTGTTTGATTTACTATGAAATATACTTGAGATTCAACGCAGTAAAAAATATTTTTAAATAACCGTAATTTCAAAAGACACAATGTTCATCATTTAATAAACGAATCATATTTTTTAGTCTGCACAATAAAATAATCCACATGGAATAAGACACAAGCGAGAGACACTATTATTTTTCTTTCAAGTTTCAACAATTAGTTTAATATTAAGTTGGGCAAACATTCATAATTTAGTATCCTTGTTCAAAGTTTATATATATATATATTATAAGAAGGCGATCGATTATTATTGCATAGATATTAAATGAACGACAGAAAATCTACTTGTAAAGCACAGTTCGTTATTATTCTTTAAAAATTAAATGAATAAAAAAAATACTACTTAAAATAATTTGCTATAATTAACTTTGATTGTCATGCCAAAGGTATATTAGTTTGGTGTAACAGTATATATAGCTTGCTAATGAACATGTAGTCTAGCTTCCTAATGTTGTGAGTTCTATTTCATCTATAATTAACATCTATCGTAAACAACATGTTTTAATGATAAGAAAAAAACAGTTCATTTCCAAAAAATGTGAACTCAAATCTGTCAGCCTGAAAATTGAGACATAAAATTCAAGTAAATGGTTGATGTAGTTAAATGACATAATAAGAGTATATAGTGTAAATGTTAACAGATCATTGCATTAGTTATCCTGCTTTACAACCACATTTATCTTTTACAAATGTCAGATCTAATAGACTTAAAACACATGAACTTTAAAGTGCAATAATACAACTAATTTCTCCCATTCCACAAACAACTTTACTGCGACAGGTATCTTCTAAATACTCTTCAATTGTTAATACCAATCATACATACAAATACATGTTAGCCAAAAGACATTATGGCTACTTTCCCTGCACATTCGATTTAAAATTATAGGATATCAAATCTAGAAAAGTAGTGGCAGTAATAGATGGAATAACCGCACGGCTGCAACGTATAATTTATAATGGACTTGAATTATATTTCAATGAGAAAATTACTAATTTAAACACATTATAGCTACCAAATTTGTTCATTATATATTCATGTGAATGTCATAGTACTGAATGTTGAAGTGAGATACTTACATAGTTTAACATTTTCATAAGTAGGAGTGCTAATTACATACATTTACATACTATTTTCAATTAGACAAAAATAGATGCATCTTTCATGCTTGGATCTTCTGGACCATCTTTGATCAAAATCACCTGTTACATTAAAATTGAGGGATTAAATGTTAGCACAGAATCACATAACTTATACAACACATGATATATCTGTTAGCAAGTCTAGGATCTATAAATAATACAATCTAACTTTACAATATAGACACTAAAAATAGCAGCAAACAATGTAACGCTAATAATAGAAGCACTATAAATCACATGGCCAAGACATTTAACTTTCAATAAACTTACATATTCTTTCCTTCCCAACAACAACATACCCAGTGCAATTCCCCAGGCCAATTCCACAGGTGGGGCCTGGGGAGGGTAGGATGCACGTAGACCTTACCCAACCTTCAATATTATTTCCTTCCCACTGAACAAAAGTGAATTTTATAACAAAAGGTTATAGCAAGATTTTCTGACCCCGAAGATGGGGGCAGGTGGTATCTCTGTCGCTTAAATTTTTCAAGATCTTCGACTTGCAACATTTTATTTCTGATTAAGCAGGCTTCTAGCAGACTCATTGACATGTTTATAGTCCAAGGCTCCAAGCTAACAAAAAAGATTCTATAGGAATGTGAGGAAGCAACTGCCAAGCACTGATGGGGTTGCGAAATGTATTTAGATTCTCTTTTTTTATCTTCTTTAACGTAGATCTGAAAACCATTATAATCAGATCAATGCAAAACTTTTAAGGTAAAGGAAGTTCATAGATATGATGGTATTTCTCCTCAATGATTGGGAGCAGGGTTATCTATAGGATATATTGTTGTGAGGGTGGAGATAGAACAAACACTGATTGCATGAGGCTGAGAAAGGCGCAGTTCTGAGCTAGCCACTTTGTGAAAAGAAAAAAAAAAAAAAGCAGATAGAGACACCAATTTCCATTTTGAAAATAACATAATAGATGCACAATGCAACAAAATTACCCATAGATGTGCAGAGTAAAAAAAGACTTCAAGTATTCTATTATCATGAATTGTTGTTTAATTGTGTTCTTTAAACTCTTCATTCCATGTTGTTGTGTTTTTCGGCTTCGGGGGGAGAGAGTTTATTCTCACCAAGCATTTCCACTATTAAGCTTCACTTGGATTTTGACAAACTGTATATTTATTCAAAGCTAACAATGTCTTGTAAGATTCTTTTGACAATTTTAACGTTGGGACTCAGGACAGGGTTACACCTCCAACCAGTGTGGGCATGTTGGGTATATGTTGGAAATTTATATACCTGAGCAGTGATGGAAAAGTGGTTGTGCAATAGGCATGTGAAGAAACAATTACACAGGCTCTATCTGCCAGAAGCTAATAATGATAAAAAGCCCTAACTGGGTTGTACCTTTCGTGCTGAAAGATGATTTCCCAAATTTATCTGTTGTTACGAATTACTATAAGAATGTTACTCTAGCTTAACTGATTAATAAGGTGGAACAAGGGTGACCTTGCATTTCGACTCTTTAAAGGAAGAATCGAAAAGCCTTCCCCTATGATCAATGTAAGCCATCAGGAAAAACTGTAATGACCCGAAAGGTCATTTTGGTAATTTTTCGTGGAAATGACTATTTTGCCCTTTCGATAGTTGCCCCGAGTCCCATGTTTTGTGGTTGTAAAGTTGGTTTGAGGAAAAGTTGGTAAAAAGTTGAGTTTTTGAGAAGTTGAGTGTTTATGAGTTAAAGTTGGTTAAAAAGTGTTTTTTTCGAGTCAATTGGAGTTTCGAGACTCGGATCGGATTTCCGTCGATCCTGACAGTTTTAGAATGTCGAAACGGGTCTGTGTGAGGTTACGGAGTTGAATTTGGAGTTGAAACGAAGAATTGAGGTCCTAAGTTGCTAAAGTTGTGAAATTTTGTATAAAGAGTTGACTTTGGTCAACATATGAGGTTTCGAGGCTCAGATTGAAATTCCGAGAGTACCGTTGGTTTCGAGAGGCGATTCTAAGTCTAGAATGAGTCTTGGTTGAATTTTTAGACGCTCCGTTTGAGTTTCGAATTTTTTTTTGGCGTTAAACTAGTTTCTTGGCATCTTATTGAATTTCGGGTCAAGGAGTCCTCGAATTCAAATTCCGACGGTTCCATTGAGTCCGGAACGTCGAATTTAGTGGGGGTACATATTTAGTTTGTGTGCACGAGATTCCGAACGAATCCCGAGGGTCCAACGGGGAGTTAAACTTTGGGGTTATTGCTGTGTTTCAGCTGCAACAGCAACCTTTTTTAAGTCAAATCAGTAGCTATTTTTCCCACAACTTGAAAATACCCATTTCTCCATTCTTTAGACTTTGAGAGCTCGAAAATAGGCGATTTCAAGTGGTTTTCGCAAGGAAGTTCATTGGGTAAGTTATTTCCAACTTATATCTTTGATTTCCATCGATTATTTATGGATTTTAACATCAAAATTCTCAACTGTAAAATTTGGGGGCTTTTGCCTAATCTGAATTTAATAGAAAATTTGAGTTTGTGAACTCATTTCAACTCCTTTTTCGAAACGGTTTTCACTATTGGATTCTAAATTTCTTGGGGAACATTTTTCACTAAAAATTTCCAGATTTTGAGAATATTTTCCGGAACAAGATTTTTTTGACCATTTTACCTTTTTTCTCCAAATTTCACGATATTGGTGTTGTTAGATTCGTATTTATTGTGGGATTCCATTTATGAATAGATTGTGGTGATTTGGAGCGTGCTCGGAAGGGTAAAACTCAAATTTGAGTTACTAGTTGAAGTGTTTTGAGGCAAGTGACTTCTAAACTTTGTTAAACTCTTAGACTACACATGACTACTTTCCTAATTGTGTTGGGGAGTAATGGGGATTGAGGATGGGTTTTATTTGTTGATTGAAATTTGTTGTAAATGAAAGATGGGGAATAAAACGAGCTAAATGTGTTATATGTGACTTGAATTTGTTGAATAAGTCATGTGATAACTGATATTGAGGGGATAGAAGAGCATGAGTAGGCTATGATTGATACAGACATTGATGTTGAGACAGATGATGTGTAATACTATGATGTGGTCGTGATATGGTTGTGATTGAGACAAATGATGTGTAATATTATGATGTGATCGTGATATGATTGTGATTGATGACATGTGCATATTCATTATTCATCCCATGTGTGAACTATCTGTTGCATGAGTTCTGAGACACTGATATGAGGATGGATGGATATGAGACACAGTTGAGACTAGCTCCGGCTAGAGATATATGAGATGGACTAGCTCCGGCTAGCGATTTGGATGCCGATGGGATCTGGTTCCGGCGGTGATACATGGTCCATGTGTGGCCCCCATGGGTTCTGATTTGAGTATTCAGCGCGGTCTGATTACGTCAACAGATGTGTATCTTAGGACAGACATGCATCACGACTACATGACATCATTATTGCATTTGCATCGCATTTGACTTCATCTTTGTCTGTGGTGTGTGGATTTTACCTACTTGCTCCTCTTCATGTGATATATGATCTATTTGCTCTTATATGAGGATATGAGGTTGATGTTGAGATACTGTTGGATATATCTGTTGATTATGAGTTGTGTAGTATAGGTTGTTGGTTCGCTGTTAGAATGAAGTTTCGGTGGTTCGGTTGGGATTGAAAGGAGTTGTTTGTAGCTGCTAGTTTAGCTTAGTTTAGTGTTACTTGCGAGTACCTGTTGCTTTTGGTACTCACGTTTGCTTCTACACAGTTGTGTAGGTTGACAGCTCTATCAGATCCGGCTTATTACTCATCTTCAGATTAGAGCTTCCAGACTTACTTGAGAGGTAGCGGTTAATTCCAGATGTGCCCTCAAGTTATCTATATTTATTGTTCTGTTCTATTCTAGAACTTTACTATGAGACTTGTATATTTTATTCAGATTCTGTATTAGAGGTTTGTACATGTGACAACCAATTCTGGGGTTATGTTGAGTTTATTTAAAGACTTCCGCTTATCTTTCTATCTTATTCTTGTTTTATTAATTTCGTATCGTCGGGTTTTTGCGTGTTAGGCTGACGTGTCCGGTGGGGTTTGGGCACGTGCCATCACATCCGGTTTTGGGGTGTGTCAAAAACTCAAACAAATTAACAAGGAGAAATTACTTAAGAGACTGGTTTAATAGTCATATAAATCAAAATAGGCAAATAGTTCTACCAGATAGGTTTGATTTCACAAGTTTTTAATTACTAACTGTTATATCGTACGGTAATTTTTTATTCTATCAGTTTAAGGTGGTTATTCCAACAAGATTAATCGAGGAAAGTTACATCATCTATTAGGAACTAAAAATGAACACAATAGTCTTCAACGATAACAATAATTATAATACCCGAAAGAATATATTTTCATTTAAGTTGATAAAAGAAGTACTTGTAAAAAGATAACTTTTAACTAACCTGCTATTACAGGAGAAAATATTTTCAATTTCCACAAAAGAACAGGAACACAAGGCATCCACATAGCAACATCAGAAGCTTGCAAAGCACGGCATTCAGTGGCAGCATCAAAAGAGTGCAAAAAATGATCGTTTCGAGAACCACAACAAAAGTGTTCCAACTGAAATTCAAAACAATAAAAAGATAATGTGTCTAGAGACTGAATAGAATTCAAAGAAAATAAATGCAAAGATAAGTAAATCCTATTTATATTAGTCAATTGCAAAGATGAAGTTTTAAACAATGTACAAAATAATTTAAATACCTTTTAGTTCTTTTTCATGGAGAATTTATCATTTCCATGCTATGTTTGTGGGTGGAAGGATTATATTTGTTTTCCATGCTTGGATATTCTTTTTCCCCCTGAACTAAGATGTTCAATTGTGCGCTTTTTCGCATCTGTAACATTGACAGTCGTAGATGCCATTGGTTTATGAATCACATCTTGTTTCTCCAGGTAAGACAAAATGAATAATGTTTGCGTTGCATCCAAATTTTTTGTGAATAGCCTTTACATTTGTATGTTGAATATCTTGCCGTTCAATTGATCTTCCACATTTTGGAGCAATAATGTTTCTTTCTGGAAAAAAATGATTAATAATAACAAAATCATTAATATATATATATATAATAATAATAATAAGAAAATAAAGCGAACATGCCGTTCAATTGATCTTCCACATTTTGGAGCAATAATGTTTCTTTCTGAAAAAAATTTGATTAATAATAACAAAATCATTAATATTTTAATATTTATATATATATATATAATAATAATAATAAGAAAATAAAGCGAACATACAAATAGAAAGAGATTGGATATTTTTACCATAAAAAAAGATGATCAACAACAATAGCATATGCAAGGATCATGAATTTTCGAATCAAAAGAAAAGTCGATGAGGTAAGAAAAGTAAATCACAATAAAAATATTAAATTTGTTTTTAAAGGAAAATCAATATATCTATGTTTATGTATTTACATCTGAACTGAAATTCAATATTAAAGGTCTTTCAACTAATCGGACTCAACATGCAACAATTCTAAAACGGCCACGCCTATTGTGGTAGGTGCGCATGACAGTTTATGCACAAAGCGCTCAGCCAATAGGTAACCATGTGAGATGGATAAAAGCCAAAAAAATATATACAATGATAATATTTTTATAAAGAAAGTTGACTGTAAACAGATAACAAAAAGTATAAGTTGGGTGCTGGAGAAAAGAAACACGAACATAAGATTTGAAATTTTGATTGAAAAGAGTACACTGAACACTTTACAGAAGGAGACGTTGACAACATAATGTAAGAGATAGACCCAAAGTATGTAAAGTTAAAACCTCTTTTAGAGTTAAGGCATGACCTAGAATCTCCTCTTATAAGAGTTTTTACAACTTACATGATACATTAAAATAGATCTTTATTACAAATTCTTTCATGCTAGAAAGCTTATAGAGTTATAGTATCCTTTTCAAGTTAAGGAAGTCATATGTTCACTTGATCATATGTTCATTCAGTTGAAACTCTTAAAAGTTAGATAGTATATTTTTCACGTAATTACAGAAAGTAATTGGTCATAGTTTAACTACATATATACATATATGATTAGTAATCTTAAAATAAGTAATTGATAATTACATATCTTCACACGCAAGATAATATTATAGCCTACTCTATAATGTAGGGTAGATATTTCTAGGATTACTACTTGTGATGTTATTATGTGCATATAATTTAGACAGTAGTGATTTAGAACATCTTATCGTAGATTCCCTTAACTGTTATAAGCCAGTGGACAGACTTTATAGGAGACCTTGAGGGAGAGTTGAACTATGTGTTTAAGAGTAGAAATAAGAAACAATGAAAATACAAAATCACAATAAGTTCTTTGTGATTATTTGGTGAGAAAATAGTGATATGTACCTTCACGAAGCAAATTTCATAAATTTCTTCTGAAGTGAGGTGCAACATTTTCTCTGAAATTTCATCCGAAACAATAGCTGTTGCAAAACCGTTGTTATCCTTAATAGTAACTTCAAATTGACATCTGTTTTGATAATTAATGAAAAATTAAAAAATAATGGTTAGTTAAGACATTTATTTCTTTGAAATAACAAAATAAATATTTTTAATTAGTTATTATTAATTTTGAAGAAGAGCAAATATACCTAGGAATAAGATGTGTGGATTGGTGACAACTTGTGCCGTAGATTTCCCTTCGCACGTTATATCTCGTGAACAATTGCTTACAATTTGAGCATGCCAACACACTAAAGCGTTGATCCTTACTTGCAAGGGACAATTCAGCCTCAACATTAAATACTTGTCCCTTCAAATTCAATATACCAAATATTATTTTTTACGGTAAAATAAAAAAATTATAAAAAATAGAATAATATACTTGTTGTTCTTACCGGAGGTTGTGCTTGAATGTTAGCCACAGATATAACCTCATCCTCAAATGGAATTAACATAATAGAGCCTATTGGAGTTATACTTTTCATCTTATAAGTAACAAGCTTTGTTTCAATTGTTTTGATCCTATAAACAAGTAAAATTATGAAAATGTCTTGTAAAAAGATTAGGAAAAAAGAAATAAAAGTGAAATTTTAAAACTTTGTGATTGTAAGATTAAAGATGTGTTTTATATCTCAAAATATTCTGAAATTTCGATGCATTAAATAAAAATATATATTACCACGTCCTTAATTCGGCAGCCTGTGTCTATGAAGGATTGATTTCAATTGTTGTATTGAATTTGCTCGTCAAACCAACAAATCTATTCGGCGTTCCTACGTGCATTTGAATATGTGATTTTAGTTTCATCATGTCATATATTTTTCAAAAAGAAAAAAATAAATTTATTTGCACTTTTACCTGAGGATGAATTCCCAATTCTCCTAGCAAGAATGATTGGGTAATCATGAAGTTGGTTGAAAAGTTGAACTCCCTCATGATCAACGAAATCCTCCCAAAGTGTCAGTTTTGTTGGTTTTTTCCTGCATATGATTCGAAGGATATTTTCAAACATTAAAATAAAGTTACAGAAGATATGTGATATTGTAAAAACATTATAAATAATAAAATTCAAGTGAGATTATTATTAACAAATACCAAGGATGGCCTAGAGTTTGTCTCAGTGTACGCTCAATTAGACATAGAGCAAGATCAAATGAAGATAGACAAAGAAACATAAGGACAGAACCAAGAAAATGAAAAGGATAAGGAGGAACAACTGCCAGGGTATCATTGTGCCCATTTTTAATGCTGCATTTATAGCAAATTATAAGGTGACGCTTGTTGCTGCAATGAGCTTGTCATTGTTACCATGTGGAGGAATTGGTACTTTCTTGAGCACAAGTCCTATGGTGAAATCTTGTCCAAGAGTTTTATTGGAGGCAGGATGGCTATGGTCATTACCTTTTGCCTTACCAAGCTGATTGGCTCTACTACAAGTATTTCTTTCTATTTTGGATCTATGGTAAGATTCTGATGTCTACTCTTTTGGGGTTGTCCTATTTGAAGTAATGTCTGGAAGGTCAGCTCTAAATGCTAGTCTTCCAAAGGATCAAGTCAGTCTAGCAGATTGGGCATTACACTGCCATAGGAAAAGTACTACCAAGGAACTTATGGATCCACATATTACAGGGGAGATTATAAAAGAATGTTTGAAGCAATTCATCAATACAACAGTGCAGTGGCGGATCCAGGATTTAGAGTCCGGGGGTGCCAAATAAACTTATCGATTAAATTAATTTTATATTTGATTAAATTATTCGCCTTTTCGATATATATCATAAATCAATCAATAAAATATAAATAATAAGATATTACAAATCCACACTCCACACTAAAAGCATGAAGTTAACAAATTTAAAACTTTCAATAATATTACTATTTACTAATATTATAAATATTCAACATTCATTTACAATTGTCCTCGACGAGTTTTCATATTCTGAAAACGATCGATAATGACATCATTACTAACATTTATAAATACATCACGCTCTATGTAACACACTAGACAATCATTTAAATATTGATTACCAATACTATTCCGCACTTCATTTTTTATGTGCTTCATTGACGAAAATGCTCTCTCCACAGTTGCCGTAGCAACAGGTAAAATCAAAGTCAACTTTACAAGTAAATAAACAAGTGAATAAGTCTCCGCGAGATTTGCTTCAACCAATGCCTTCGCCAAATCATGAATTCCTTGCAAGTTGGAGAACTTGGGATTACCACTTCGCATATGAATAATGAAAGTATCGAGTTGGTAGCTCAAAT